ATAGCGCCATCATGTGGCCATTGTCTACGAGTTTTATGCTATGGCCTTAGACTGACCTCTTGCATACGTGTAACAAGTTTGGTGAAGATATTTTAATTCCTTCATGAGTTATGGCTATTTTAGCTCTTCTTAATAAAAATGACAAAAGAGCAGTGAATAAGCTATTAGTGATCTCCTACTGCCATCTAGTGGCCACAGTGTAATTTATTTATGTGATTACAGCCATTTAGGTGTGCATAAACATATCCCTTCTATAATTGAGCATGTTCTAACTATATAAAAAGAAAATTTTGTATTTTATTAAAATAATTAAAAATCTACAGAGTAAAAAGTGTGAAAAGCTTTAACTAAATTTGATCTTAAATGAATTAACTGTGTTCATGCCATGTCAGTTTGGGATTCAGAATGCATTACATTACATTACATTCTTTGCTATAGAGCAGTAAAATAAACAATAAGTGGTCTGTTACTGCCATCTAGAAGCCACAGTTGTGATTTTCTTTACATATGTTTTAAAACAATGTGTTTAATCATAGAACCAGTTTTACCTATTAGAATTATTATGAAGAGGTTAACTGGGACCAAATTAGATGTTTAATGCATAACAGTGTTTACATCAGGTCAAAATATGATTCAGAATGATCCTAAATGCAATTTCCCTGACATTAAACTCAAAAAATGTAAAACAACAAAGGTATGCAAATGTTTTGAACAATAAATAAGTGGTCTTGTTGTGACATCTAGTGGTTAGAAATGGTAGGTGACAGTTAAAAGTCTGTGTTATAGTGGCTAAAATGATAGAATATTGAAAATGTGTTTTTGAGACCTTTAAACATCCAAGATGGACAAAAAAAACAAACTTATAAATCATTTCAGTGATAAGTGTGTAAATGAAGCACATTTACTTCATTTTTAAGCCATTTTAGCATGTTTTTAGAACCATTTCCACTATAATAGCGCCACCTATAGCCCGATCTCCACAAAATTTTTCATGTTTATTCACATTGATATGCCACATCTGCTCACTAATTTCTGTGATGTTTTCGGTTTTCCTTATTGGTTTACAGGCATGTAGGTTCATGTAGACACGCCCCTTTTGTTAATGAGCCTGTTACAGCTATCTAAAATGGAAAGTTCAACTTTTTTTTGATAATTATTGATCTACTCAGTCCAGAGGTTCATACAACACTGGTTTCGTTGCAATTGAGTTAAAAACCAGGGACTAGTTCGCAAAAGTAGGTTTTGTTTATATTGATGGTTTTTTAATGAAAAGTTTGAGTAACAGCAGTGGTTTTAGTCTCAAACTGTTCAGTATGAGCAGACCTATCATATGATATGTAGATTAAGTGTTTTTTGTGAAATAGTGTGTAAATGAAGCAAATTTACTTTATTTTTAAGCGATTTAGCATTATTTAAAGACTATTTTTGCTATTATAGCGCCACCTATGGTTTGATCTTCACAAAATTTTGCAAGTTTCATCTCGTTGATATGCCACATGTGCTCACCAATTTCTGTGTTATTTTTGGCTTTCCTTATTGGTTTACAGGCATGTAGGTTCGTGTGGACACGCCCCTTTCTTAAATTAGCCTGTTACAGCTAGCCAAAGTGAAAGGTTCAACTTTTTTTTGATAATTATTGATCTACACAGTCCAGAGATTCCAACAATACTGGTTTCGTCGCGATTGAACTAAAAACCAGGGACTAGTTTGCAAAAGTAGGTTTTTCCTATATTGATGAATATTTAACGAACGGTGTGAGTGACAGCAGTGGTTTGAGTGTCAAACTGTTCGGTATGAGCAGGCCTATCATATGATATGTATTTTGTGTGGTTGCGCAAAAGGTTGATTGATACACAACCCATTACACCTTAAAAATGCGTAAAATCGCCCCCTAGTGGCCGATTTCTTTCAAAATTCTTACAGACCTCTAGGTCTATAAGTCGAACATACCCAGCGAGTTTCGTTCCGATCGCTGATCGTTAACCTTGTTAAATGGCTGCTCAATCTTTATTGGCCAATGGCGGCCATGTTTTTTGAGATGTGCCAATGTCCTTATAATATGTCATGGCAAACTGGTCAAAGATACTGCATGCCAAATTTCAAGCTGATCGGACTAACGGTTGTAAGGTAGGGGTCATTTTATGGTTTTTAAGCTTTATAGCGCCACCATGTGGCCAAAGTCTGCGGGTTTTGCAGTGTCACCTCAAATTGAGCTTATACATGTGTGTACCAAGTTTGGTGATGATATCTCATTCTGTTCAAAAGTTATAGCTCCAATTAGCATTTAGCTTCAATTAGCATCGAACATTGTTGTGTACTGTTTCGAGTGAGAATAAAAATGTCAACTTTTTTTTGATAATTATTGATATTCAATGTCCAGAGAACATTTGAGAGGTGGTTTGGTTTAGATTGAGTGAAAAACCTAGGACTAGTTCGCAAAAGTAGGTTTCGGACAAAACGCAATGTAGCAGGAAAACGGTGCGTCGTAGAGCAAAAAGTGCAGCTGTGCACTTTTGTTAGGGCTAACTCAAGGATTCAAAAAATGTAAAGTTTTTGAGTCTACGACAAACGGTGAACGTATAGCGGCCAAAAATGTCCAAAATATTGGTTTTTGGCGCTGTAGCGCCACCTATGGTCCGATTTGGCTGATCTTTGGTGAGAATGTAGTGTACCGGGGTACTACGATCTGGCCAAGTTTCAGCTCTCTCGGCCTTACGGTTTGGTCTGGGCAATAGTGACTTCGGCAGAATAATAATAATAATAAAAATCCTAACAAATACAATAGGGTTTCAGCGCTTCGCGCTTGACCCCCTAATAATAATAAAAATTTTAACAAAAACAATAGGGTTTCAGCGCTTCGCGCTTGACCCCCTAAAAATCCTTACAAATACAATAGGGTTTCAGCGCTTCGCGCTTGACCCCCTAAAAATCCTTACAAATACAATAGGGTTTCAGCGCTTCGCGCTTGACCCCCTAATAAAAATCCTTACAAATACAATAGGGTTTCAGCGCTTCGCGCTTGACCCCCTAAAAATAATAATAATAAAGTACATTAAACATCAATTCCAATAAAAACATTGGAAATCTATTTATTGTAATTTTGTCAATTAAATAAATGTTTCATATGATTAAACCAAAAACCAACAAATTTTATTGCATTTTACAAAATATCTAAACCTTTCTTACAACATTTACAACATTCGCTGTTGTAAATCTATTTGAATTGCATGCTATGATCTGGGTCTTCTAAGGAGAACAAGATGTGAACATTTTTATAGGATAAACAGGCTTAGTAACAAAAACATTTTCCTAAATTCATATATATATGTATATATATATATATATATATATATATATATATATATACATATACATATACATATACACACAGTTGAAGTTAAAATTATTAACCCTCCTGAATTATTAGCCGTTTACTTTTCCCCCAATTTCTGTTTAACGAAGAGAAGATTTCAAGATTCAGTAGACTTCTAAATATAAGTTTTAATAACTTATTTCTAATAACTGATTTATTTATTTTATAACTGATTTTATATCTATTTTATGATTTATATTTTATTCTTTGCCATGATGACATTAAATAATATTTTACTAGATATTTTTCAAGACACTTCTATACAGCTTAAAGTGACATTTAAAGGCTTGACTAGGTTAATTTGGTTAAATATCTAGTAAAATATTGTTTACTGTCATCATGGCAAAGATAAAATAAATCCATTATTAGAAACAAGTTATTACAACTATTGTTAAAAAATGTGCTGAAAAAAAATCTTTCCGTTGAGCAGAAATTGGAAAAAAATATATATATATATACAAGCAGTCTAATAATTCAGGGGGGCTAATAATTCTGACTTCAAACTGTGTACTATATATATATATATATATATATATATATATATATATATATATATATATATATATATATATATATATATATATATTAACTACAAACTGACTCTACATTTAAGGTAGATTGCTCTTTTAATAACATGGCAGATTGTGTCCTTGATAGGCATACGTTCATCAAATAAAATAATACAAAAACATCTTTTTCCAAACTCTTAACGATAAGTGGTGTTCATTACTTTCATCCACTTGTTAACTATTAGAATTTTTTTATCATCAAACAACACAGATGAAATGAAAGAATAATTGGACTGTAGTCCAATCTTTTTTTATGTATTAAGGGATGCTTTGTGCTTTGCATTCTGTAGGCTACAGTTCATTCCATGTGATTTTAGAAGACAATTTGATTTTTTTGATTTTTATTTACTAGTGCATATAAACTACTAATTTAAAAAAAATGCTGCTTCTGTGAAAATGACACATTTAAGCAGCATTACAAAACAAAATACAAAGACAAAATAAAAAAAGCTCTGATGCAGCTCATATTTTAAGACCAGTGGCCATAATCATGTACTTTTATTCATTTATATGTATGAAACGTGTATGGGTCTCTCCATCTCCATGAGTAGGACTTCACTTTCAGACTGAGTTTTTTTGTATGGTATGGTCTTTCTCAATGATAAAATTTTAGTTGTTGTCTGCTTTTTGGATGTAATATTAATTAAAGGCTGTTACAAGGCAGAGATCTGACAGCACTCACAAATTCAGCATCATTTGCTATTTATAAGTGTCTCTTCTACAGTAAAGGAATATGCACAAATTGTCGTTTTCTCTGAATTAAACTTGTATACATTTGCAAATGATCCTCAAATTTAGAACAGTTTCTTTCCAACACTTTATAAATGAGTCCCCGGATGAAAGACGCAGTCGGAGTTTGAATGATTTTTTTTCTATTGTCGTTTTCCCAAAGCAAAGTGTTCAATCTGAAAATGTTGTATGTGACTTTGAATTTGCATTGTTATTACTATACAAATGATAAACTCCAAAGCTTTAAGGAACAAGAACTCTGATTGAAATCCGGTTGTTGGAAACGAGGTTGAGAAAGCAAAACAAATGAACCACAAGAGGGTTAGATATTGAAATTTATCACCGGTAGGAAATACAAAGTAACAATACCAGCAAAATGAAGCACAGAGATACTAGCACAAACACATTCTAATCCAATCCCGGGTCGTTCCATTTGCCGGCGGAAAATAAAAATGAGGGAAGAAGAGCTTCTGGCCTAATGACAACACAAAGCACTGGTGCAAATGGATTTCTGATGAGAACGTTGTGTGTTTTGCACAGATAAATGCTCGTGTGTGTTTGCTCTTCATTTGCTGCATTACTGTCCTTCTAGACTGTAGTTCCTTCATCCTCAAGATCTCCAGCTCCTCTACTCTCTGTCCTCCATCGGTGCTCCACCCGTCTGCTCTCCATCTCCCTTCTTCTTGTGGCCAGAAACGATGTCATCAATGCGCAGTAACAGGATAGCCGTCTAATTGAAAAAAGGACAGAGAGAGAAATCCATTAACAGGCGTAAAAAAGGAGCACTTTCCTCCTGCTGTGTTTATGAATGAGTGTCTGTACCTCCACTGCAGTTTTGTAAGTCTGGGCTTTAACAGCCAGCGGTTCCCAGATTCCCAGCTGCTCCATATCAGCAAGAGTTCCTGTCTCTCCATTAACACCCCATGAGGAGTTTCCCTCCTGAGTGTGCTTGGCCTGAACACAAGATGAAACACAAGAGAAACTCTAACACCAACTGAAATACAAGTTACTCGATTTTCCAGATTATAAAATGCAATTATCTGACGTTTATATTCCAATGCAGCTTGAATGGTGTGGTTAGCATCAAGCAAGCAAGAAACATGCAAACCATAGACACATTTGGATAGGTGCAGAAGAAGAGAAGTATTCATGACACCTTTCACAAGTGCCAATAGATTTGGCATCCCTTTAAAATGATACATCTTAAATATTTTGGATTAGGGTAATGACACTATCATTTTACATTGCTTTATAACAATGAGATCAGTTGATTTATATATACATAGCTCGTTTTACCTTCATCTAGATTATTTATTTATAATAGGCTATTTATCATACAAATAACCACTTTACATTGTGAAAAAAATTAATTAACATTAAGAAAGAATTAAATGTCTTTTTAATTAAAAAACACTGCATTGTGGTGCAAATTTTACAGCATTTATTCTGCACCATCCAATCATGTTTGGATTTATCATCATCATCATAATGATTAAGATTGATCAACAGCACAAGCTGCTCACATTTATATTGTAAATAGTGATTGGGGGTTTCAACATCTGGCAACCGCAAAACGTGTAGAGACTTGATTTAAATATTTTAATGATAACATGTCTTTTTTTTTTTTTTTTTTTTTTTTTAGAAAAATTAAGAGACACCATTACATTTTTATACTTCTATACTTTTCCCCAGCAATGAATTACCATGTTGGCACTTTTTGATGTAAATTAAAATTAACATTGTACATTAGCAATTTGTGACCCAAAAACTAGTCATATCAATTAATCAGAGACACAACTATTTGAAAATCTGTAGGATCAAAAAAATATATAATAAAAATTATTATTACTAAAAAAATATGTTGATATTTTTACAGTATGAAGGGTACAAAATATGTTCATGGAAGATAATTTTGCCTTAATAGTCTAATGATTTTAGCCATAAAAGAAAAATCGATAATTCTGACCAATTCATATTTCATAATTGTCCATTAACCCAACACTTGTTTTCATTTGGTTAACGAAAATAACACTAGTGATATGCGAATTGACTTAAAGGCTCAGTTTCACTGGGTGGTACGGTAAGGTACACTTTTATGCCCGCTCTACTAGGACTGCTCAATTATTGGAAAAATCATAAGCACTAGGGGTGTAACGATACACCAAACCCACGATTCGGTTCGTATCACGATTTTTGACCCACGATTCGGTTCGTATCACGATTTTTTATTTTATTTTTTTCGTGTGGGGTGGGGAAAAAAAAAGATTTTTAAAACTATTTTTTATTAAATAACATTTGAAAAATCTTTATAAACTAAACATCAAAGAACAATATTAACTATGCAAATTATTAACAATATAAATATAGCCATATATAAAATAAATAAATAGCCAAAGCTATATCACTTCTGTTTTCTTTGTAACAAAATACTGTTGAAAAACCAAACAGAACTAAACTCCATTGTGTAGATGGTTCAAGCATGTTGAAAATTCTTTTTCAATCAAGTTCTCTTACATAGAAAAAGTAAATTAAATGGCTACTAGGGATGCTCATTTCGTTAATTTTGCTAACCAACAACCGCCGCTCATTAATCGGTTATTACCGGTTAACTGGTCAGATTACTATTAATTTTATATTAAACAAATTGACGTGCCTATTTTGTGTCTGACACATTAAATATTGCATTTTAAAATACTGATTTATTTATAATAGCAGAACAGAACAACAGAGCATCTTCACGCACCTGCAGTGTTTAGCACAGAAGAGCAGAATAATCTAAATAAAATGAATAAAATAAATAGGACTGCCCTTAATTATTTTCACTTAAATAATTAATTTATATTACAAAACGAAAATACTGACTGATTCTTTTTAATAACCAGCATAGGCTTTTTTTTTTCCAATCATATGTTTTTTTTTTCCGTCAAATAAAAATCGCAGACTTCCTCAAATTGCTCGCTCCACGGAAAATATGCCTTTATTTAATGCCCCGCTGTTATTATTATAATTACAAAAACATTTACATTTTAATAGAAATCAATATTTTAAAGAATATGTCCAGATATAGCCTATGGTTTCCTCTCTCTTCCTCGCGGTTCAAGTGCGCGCGCTGCGTGATGAAAAGACAGCAACAATGCGCTCAGACTTTTTGTAAACAGTTTTGTTGTTTAAATATGATATTGCATTAATCTGCGTACATGCTTTATAAGCTGCAAAATAAAAAGTAAAGCCTATTTGTTGCGTTTATTACGCAGATCCAGGTCAACATAAGCGCTGGTTTAGCATCAACAGGTCTGTATCAAACAGCAATATTCTTCTTCCATTTTGCTTCTTTGGCAAATGTGTCTGTAGGCACGGGTTACACGTTATGGTCCCGCAAATTAAGTATGCCTTGCAGTTAAACAAGGGGCCGAAAACGAGGCGCACCTCACTGCCTTTATGTTGACAAGGAAAAACGAAGCGCGGTCCTCTTATGAAACGACTGAATCAGCTGGGTATCTATTGTGCAAAAGTGTTGCTGTCTGTGTTGTTACAATTGTAATATTTAATACTATTGTGATATTCAAGATTTGTATATTCATACAGCTCTGGATAACTTAAAACAGCGATTAGACCTTCAGAGCGGCGTTAATGCGTCCTGTAGTAAAGCGAAACGGCTATAAACTCCAGCAAGATAGAGTGATTGTATGCAGAGCCATATATCTTTATCTCTAAATAAAGTATAACTATAGAAACCGTGTTCATCTTAACTGAAAGCACCTGTCAGTCAGCACTCTCAAAGGTTCAAACAGAAAGCGCACAGCACGGTTACAGAATAGTTTGCGCTGTTACCTGACATCTGGTGAACGCCCATCCCTCTCTGCGCAGCCACATTAACAGTGTGAGCAAATCATCGTATATGCGCTGAAAATCCGGCCGCTTTGACAGCATTGGCAATGTTTCTGGCATTGTCGGTTGTCAAGCAGGGTTAAGTTGGTTTTGTTTTTGATATCCCATTCAGACGGTCCCTTACTAAGAGCTCCGTGCGAGCTCTCCCGGCTAAATATTGCGAGGGCTTAAACGGAGCAGTGCTTGTAATGTCGAACGAAAAAAAGTGTTAATTAGCTCAACTTTTGCAGGCACGCGTGACGTTATTGGAAAGGTATCACGGGGTGTGTCGCGATTCTCCCTTATTACACCGCGACACAGGATCGTAGATCTGAGTGTCGCGATTTCGATTTTATATCATGTATCGTTACAGCCCTAATAAGCACGATTATTTTGGTCATAATTGTAATCTTGATTATTCAAAATAGGGTCTAAAATATTCACCCTCCTGTGAATCTTTTTCTTTTTCAAATATTTTCCAAATGATGTTTAACAGAGCAATAAATTATTTGCAGTCTTTCCTATAATATTTTTTCTTCTAGAAAAAGTCTTATTTGTTTTATTTTGGCTAGAATAAGAGCAGGTTTAAATATTTTAAAACCTATTTTAATTCTATTAGCCCCCTTAAACTATATATTTTTTGATTGTTGATTTGATTGTTTTAATTTGTCTGCAGAAGAAAATACTGTTATACAATGACTTGCCTAATTACCCTAATTAAGCCTTTAAAATTGCATTTTTGGCTGAATGATTGCATTTTGAAAAATATGTAGTAAACAATTGTGCTGTCATCATGGCTAAGATAAAAGAAATCAGTTATTAGAAATAAGTTATTAAAACTATTATGTTTAGAAATGGCTTAAAACAGAAATCCGTTAAACAGAAATTGGGGGAAAAATATAAAGGGCCACTAATAATTCTGACTTCAACAGTATATATAAAGTTAATTTCCTCCCTGTAAATAAGGAAAGAGAAAAAAATACAATAGAATAAAAAATTGAAACAAACTGTGCTTTAAGCATCTTTACTGTAAGAAAAAAATGTATTATAGCTTCAAGTCCTTCAGTCAAGAGCAGGGACTGATTTTGTCCTTTTGTTGTCGGCAGCAGGAATAATGCGCGCTGTCACTTTAAGAGCAGTACAGTTCTGATTTATGACTTCACTTTAACGTGTCTTTTGATTCTGAACTCGTTTGTTTATTACATAAATGAGGGTTGATAAGAATAAACACTAAACACCACACTGACACAAATTTGCATGTATTTGACGATTAAAGCACTCGCATTAAGATGACTTTGGATGCAAGTGCTCTGCTTGTCTCTTAGGCAAGCACAAAGAACAGCATGCAATCTTTTTTGAGCTTTTAAAAACATGAATGATTCGAATGTACATCAATGAATGATGCGCATCCCGTCCTGCAAAAGTTACATTACAGGATGCGCTTTTAGTAATTTTCACATGAAACTGAGCTTTGCAGAGCAACAAATGTATACAACTGGAAAGAGGATGGTATATGATCCAATAATTGTTTTATCTCGATTAACGTTTTTTTCATAATTGTTTGAAGCCAAAATCGAAACTGGAACTTCAATTTTTAATTAAAAGGCAAAGCCAGCCGAACACTATTGGTTTACAGAGAAACGTCACTAGCACATGCATAAGCCAGTAAAATGAAAACACAGGAAGTGCCATTTTTAAATACACAACCCAGACATTACACTATAATAAAATATAGCCGTGTTCGACCCGAGCTCAAACAAACCTTGTTGTTGTCTTAATAACAGCCACAAAGTCAAGAAAAGAATTGGTCATTTGTGACTCTACATTTGAAATAACGAACTAGAGCTCTATAATAACGTGCACATGATTACTGAAGTGCTTCTCACATCCTTCAAGAAAGAGACAAATCGCAAGAGTGAAGCTGATTAAACAAAGGAGCAAATGATCCTTTCAGCAACCTAAAACATGAACAAACTGTCATGTTTAACTATTATCGCCAACTTTTAGACTATTACGAAGTCAGAACGACGGAAATACTTAACAAAATGTTAACATTACATGTGCTGGTGAAGAATAACATTGAGAGGGTTGTGCCAACTGTAAACGTTTTGTATTATTTATGAACGCAATAAAGCCATAGAGGTTTTTTTTTTTTTGTAATTGGTACCATTTCAGAGACTGTTGGTCTCTGTATGTGTTCATAAATTGTTTATTTTTATAAATATAAATTGCAGATGTTACAGTAGGCTACTTCACTTTATTACTGATGTGCAACTATAATCGATCCTGTTCACAGAAAGATTAGTAATCAACTTTTAATTATTCATAAGTATTGATGTATATAAAGCATTTGTGTTTAGTAAGAAGTGCTTCTTACATGATATGTACACTTCAAGTGAGAAAGACAATTGTATCTGGACGTCGACTGCAACTTTCTGTCCATCACCACGCCTACCAAAAGGGTACCATAGCTACCCTTTAGCAGTTGAAAACACAAAACTGAAAAAAAAGTGACCCGAAACTAACCGTACCACTCAACGGAAACAAGGCATAAGTTAAACAGTTGTCGGGAGAGGCAGCAATCCACTAAATAAAAACAACAACGTCAATGTGTGCTTTCTGAATGGACGTACCCTCAGAGAAGTGAGCACACGAATGGCTGAAGCTCCACAGTTCTGGATGAGTGTGCGAGGGACAACCTCCAGAGCCTGAGCTACAGCGCGGTACGGCCACTGCTCCACACCAGTCATAGCTCGAGAGCGCTCCGTCAGCCGATGGGACACCTCCATCTCCACTGCGCCACCACCCGGCAGCAGATATGGGTCCAGCAGGACATTACGACACACTTGCATGGCATCCTGTAGGTTTCGTTCCACTTCCTGAGAGAGCAGAGAAAGAGCATCAGTCAAACTTTGCGACAAGTCAATTATCCTGCACAAAATCCCTGGCGGAGCTGATCAAAGATTCAACAAATGGCCTGTTAAACTATCTCAGCATCTCCTCCTGAGAGACGACTGCTCTGACTGTGGAGACCTTTGTGAGACTCTTTATAACCATTAAAACACATTCTCATTAATCTTGCCCTGAGAGCTGCAGTCATGAATGTTTAACAATGGCCCCAAACTCCTGATATAGCTGGGGCTCGTTTCTCACCGCCAAGATTTCCTTGCTGGCTCCTCTGAGCAGGATGGTACATGCTTTGGGGTCTTTACACTCTGTCACAAAGGTGAAGTACTCGTCGCCGATCTTCTTGACTTCAAAAAGGCCTGCTCCTGTACCCACATCATCTTCAGTGAGCTCATCGGTTCTGCTGGCAATACGTGCACCACACGCTCTGACAGAGACAAGCAGGAATACAGTTAAAGACTAAACACAACACCAATACAACTTAAAGGTGCAGTATGCAAGTTTGACACCCAGTGGTTGAACTAGGTACTGCAAGCCTGGTTCAAAACAAAGCAAGCGCAGGTTGCCAGATTGACGACATCAACAGTTGCAAGCATGACTTAAAGGCTGATTTAAGTTGTGTTCTATATAAAAGCAACGGCACGCAATAGAAGGAATATTTTCCATATTAAAAGGAGTTTTTGATCCTACCAAAACTTGAAATGTATATTTTAGAAACAGCTTCTATATCATGCAGCTGAATAACAGGAAAAACTGACAATGATCGCATCAGGTAAACCTTATGTGCTTTATTAAGTGTTAAATGCTAATAATGAGAGTTTGAATGACATTTTACATGACATTTATTGCCATATACTGAAAGCAGCAGCAGATTTTGAAAATAAAATAAACCGTTTGAAATTGAACTTGAACCAACAGATATCAGTAATTCAGCATGTACATTAATTACTATTAAAGTGGTTTAATATGTATTAATTAGATAATAAACCTCACCATTTTGCTTGAGTGCAGTAAGTGCACTATTCTGTACATCTGAATGGCTGTATTTAAATTTCTGTCATGTTTCATCTTTATGCGGTTACAATGCAAGCTGCTCACCTAATGTTTATCTTCCTAATGTTTATATAATTTGCTAATTAATAACCACTTCATGTGGAACTCTGAATCTGCGTCTCATTTTGGAGTCTGCTACTGTCCACTGGAGGTCGCATTTCATAAACGCATGCTTTGAGGACCTTCATGACTGAATGAGTGAAATATGCTGTTTTCCACCAAGGCAACCCAGAGTGCTGAAATATAATTGGCTAAACTGGCATTGGGCAGGTTGAATGACTAAAACAAAGATAAAAGTCCCAGCACATAACGCACATTTTCAAAGCAAAATATCTGACTTAAGCATTGTTTTTCAGATAAACAAGAACATTCACTTGGCATGTTTCTTAAATATCTGCAAACACATTATGGTATTTTTATGTTTTGTATGTTTTTTATGTTTTGAGTCAAAAACTTACATACAGCACCTTTAATATTTCTGATTACTCGAAGACTTTATAAAATACTCCCAACTTTTTTGGCACATTAATAAAGCTGTAATATCACACATCACTATTAAAAAAAATTAAAAAGTGCACCATTTTCACAAATCAACATCAATAAGATTAAACAATGTCTAAAATCCCCTCAAAAAGGGTGCCGTTTCTTCATTGAGTGAAATATATTTTTCAATGCAAGCCTGTATCTACTGGCATTTAAGGATGCTCATGAGCAAAGACATTATTTTACTTTATCATATTACATTAAATCTTTAAACTTAATTGCAGAAACATTACATTTAACTAATCAAAACACAAATAAAATCAAAACACAAATAGCACAAAATTACTTCAATTTCAAATGTTTCAAAATATGACTAAATAATATAATAGTATATAAACAAATTAATCATTCATGCCAAATTGTGAACCATGTTGACAAATTCATGAACAATATAAATCCAATAATTCAACAAAAAGTGACTCACAATTCAGACAATCTGACTTTACACAAGCAGTACCTTCAATTAGGTGACTAGAATTTATAGATCCATTAAAAATCCCAGGATTAAAATGAGTAACATTTTATTATTATTATTATTATTATTATTATTATTATTATTATAAGAAAAAATAATTAACAAATAACAAATACACAATAATAATTTGTTGTTTTAAATCACCTTGCAATGCGGTTGTTGTCCGTCTTCCTGATACGGCGGATAGCAGTGATGTTTGCTTTCATCAAATAGTGCTGAGCCAGATCTAGAGAGATGACAAATAAATTAATATTCAAATGCAATGAGAAAACACCCCCATTATTTCTCAAACCCACGACTACGAGTGCTCATTTGTACCAGAAATGCCCTTCTCTGTGAAGATTAGGTCAGGTTTGAGCCGAATGATGTCTTCACAGATCTGCTGAACGTATTCTTCCTCCATCTGCAGAATGCGGGCGAAGTCTTCCTCACGAGCAATCTCAATATCAGTCTGAAGAGAAAGGCATCAATAGGTTTTACAATAAGAATGGTCAAATATACATTCAATACATTTGTAAATATACATTTCTATTGAAATGGCATCTCACCTGGCTCTCGCCCTTCTTGTACTCCAGAGAACAGTCCAGCAGAACAATTCTGGGGTTCTTGATGAGTCTGCGCATGCGGGGATGAGTTACATCCTTATTCACCATCACACCCCTCAGCACGCATGAATCTTCGATAATGCCACCAGGAACCTATACAAACACAAACATTGGGAAGAGTGCTATCAGACACGGACAACGAAAAGCATTTAATCAATCAGTTTAAAGGAGTGAACCGCTAAACGTTAAGAAATAGAATTTTCTCTGCTTTCTTAAGGTCTGTGGACACAGAGATGATTTAAACTAAATTAGGTTGATTCTTGAAACTATACATTGTGCAACCAAAAACCAAAACCGTGATTTCTGATTAAATGAGCTTTCCATTAATTGGTTTGTTAGTATAGAACTACAGTATAATTGGCAGACATACAAATACTTGAATACCTGGAATCTGAGGGTTTAAAAAATCTAAAAGAAAACACTTTAAAGTTTTCCAAATTAAGTTCTCGTCAAAGCATTTTAATAATCAAAAATAAAGTTTTGGTAATATTGTAATGATTTATGCCATAAAGAAAGATCCAATATATATGGACAATACCTAAATTATTGCTAAAAATACTACCTATGAAATGTTTTTCGACCATCGTGTGGTGCAAGTTCTGTGACGTTAGATCTGTTTTCATAGCTGTGACATGTGGGCGGGGCCAAAAGACATGAAAATGAAAGCAAAGCCAGTGGCCTGGGTATTTAATAAGTGTCAAGTTCCATGGAGGAGCTTCACATTAATACTTTTGTGTTTACGTTATGCTAACACAAAACTAAAATTTGTGTTGGGTTATATTATGCATTATATATATATATATATATATATATATATATATATATATATATATATATATATATATATATATTGTGCTATGGTTAAAGTTCACCAGTTCCCAGCTCTTTTTTCTGTGAAGGAGTGAGTTTAAGCTACTTCTACAGTAGCATCTGAGGCATTTCTGGTGTATATTTAAAACTTGGGTAAAGAAATTTGACACGGTGGAACACAGAAATTCCACCATCTACTAGCATTTCGAATGTGTTACTGCAAGAGCAGCAGAGTCAGAACAAAAATAAATAAATGCACAAAATGGCTTTGACTATATGCAAGGTATGCACTGGGGGTACAGCCATCACTCAATGAAGAAGTTTAGATCAAGCTCAAGAAAGTGCTCCCTTATCGGCCACAAGGGTTTTTACATTCTACAAACAAACTACTTTAAAATATCAAAACTCAACCGTAACAACAGAAAATCCTCTTGGCCATAACCTACCTTTTCAACTTTGGCATACTTCTTAATGTCAATCTCTTTGCGTCCATTTTCCTCCAGCTCAACAGTACGGACAGCATCCAGAGCGATGTTACAGGCCAATGTGGACCAGCGGCTGAGTGCTTTGGTGTTGATTGCAGAGTTTATTATCTTCAACATCATGTCTCGATTACTCACATCTACTGGAGTGCTATTGTCAGGGAGTAAAAGAGAAAATATCAGAGTCTGGAGCACCAAAATCAAGCTACCACCTTTCTATTCCACTGATAAACTCATACAGAACCAATGAAGAGGTTTTGTGTGATTACCTTATGTCTTTGAGTATGTTCAACATGTCATCCAGAGCTTGTCTGTATGCACCGATCACCACAGTAGGATGCATCTGCTGCTCCAAAAACTGCTCAGCCACTGACAGCATCTCACCCGCTGCAAAGATAATTATATGAAAACATGAGCAAATTCTGCTGGACAAACTGAATTACAATATATTGTTACATTTCATTTAACCTGAATAATTCATGATCCCCCTTTTAAATCATAAATAATAATAATAATAATACTAATAATAAACTAAATGTAAATATCTTGTGAATCTGTGAATAATATATATATATTAAAATATTCAGCATTTTCCCAGAAGAGGGTATAGTTTTTCATCCTTGTCATGAGAATTATTGCAATTTCTGATATGATTTTAAAAATTCTACAGAAATATTATCTATAATAATGCATAAAATGCTCATGCAAAAGTGATTTAGACAATGGCAAAACTGTCAACAAAAGTTGCATTTAAATACATAATAATACCAGATCCAAAGAGCAATGCACAGTAAAAAAAGAAGACCCTCACCTAGAATGATGACAGAGGTGGTCCCATCTCCAACTTCTTCATCCTGTGTGCGGCTAATCTCAATCATGGACTTGGCAGCAGGATGCTGGACCTGGATCTAAAGTCCACATGAAACAATTTAACATTAATTAAAATCAAGATACAGATTTCATTTAACAACTCACAGATAATGTAGCAGGGTTCAAATCACCTCTCTCAAAATGGCATTGCCATCATTGGTCATGACGATACCACCCATGGGATCCAGCAGCATCTGCAGACAAAACATATTTTTATCTCTTTCTATAACAAAGATTCACTTGGGAAAATGATAACGTGAACATCTTAAGCGCACCTTCATCATAGCCCTTGGTCCTAGGCATGTCCTGATGATGTCTGCTATGGTCTAAAAAAGGGAACAGAAGACTGCAAGTCAGGTTGGTGATATGATTTATGTGACATGTAGGCAACGTTGCAATAACAAAAAAATACATATATATACAATAAACTAAACATAGACTCACCTTAGCCGCAGAGATGTTTCCAATCTGGACCTTCCGTCCAGATTCTCTCTTGATGTTCTGACCTGTACCAAAAACAGAGCCAATGGGCATTAAATCTGCTTCTTCATATGATGAACTCTAAACTCTTCATTCACTAAAAAAATTCAAATAACATTCACTGCCTTAAAACCTAACACCAAGCCAAGACAACTGAAAAACAATACAACAAATCTGTTCCTTAACACGAAAAGGGTGCAGCTTTAGTAAGCCCACCCTCTACGCACTGCTGTTAGCCTGATGCTAACTAATTCATTCTTTTAAAGCGTCCGTTATATAGAAACTACAATGCCAGCAAATGACTAGAAACTAAAAATCGCTAGATTTATTTTTGACTCTGCAACTTGAGATGCAAAGTCTTAAACAGTTATACCAGTAAATGTTAGCTAAGAGGCTAACACAATGACTAATCTGAACACTGACATGAGCTTGTCAGACACGCGAGGCCCCCGTGCCACACTAGTTAGCTTAGCATTCAAGCAAAGCTGCATGAATAAAATTCTTATTTTGACTGCTACAGAGACCAGCGGCGGCTCATGCGATAGCTCCAGTAATAGATTTAAAGATAGAGTATTAAAATAAGCACTCACTAAGCACGAGAACCGGTCGGCCCATCATATTTGCGGCGTGGTTAGATCACCGGTACCGGACAACGCGCACAACGGCAAGAGGAGAGGATGCACGAGGCGTGGTTGAGAACTGAGCAACAGAGTGGACCAATTAGCAAACGAGATGCCTTTGACAGACATCTATGTCCACCAATCAAAGAGAGCAAGGTAATGCTTGGGGCCAGGTCTAGAGTGAAGCAGAACTGAAAAGTTCTCGAAAGAACGGGCTTCCATAGGTAAAGAAGTACACTTTATTGATTAAAAAACGTATTTTAAATGTTTAACATAGTTGATACACACAAATAAATAAACATTTTAAGATCTAAACAAATTAAAATCTACATTTCTAAAAACATTTATTATTTTAACATTTCCATTTATTAATTTTCTTCTAATTTAATATAACGTTATATATCAAAATGTGTAACTGCGTCTTGCTTTTTAACATATAATTTGTTAGCGTTTTTTTTTTTAAATACTGCCCCGTTAAACAAATAGTTATCAGTTTTATTACCATATTAGGTCATTTTAAAATGACGTGAACTTAGATAAAAAAAATTTTACTTTTATTTTGTAAGTTTTGTAGTAATTCATTAGAAGGTGAATGAATTTATGAAATATATCATACAATTTAGGATCTTTATAAATCTAAAACGAAATAATATTTTTAACAATCATTTATGATTAAAAACAAAAAAATAAAAATATGTTTACACCAATACAACACTTGAATTTTTCTTAAAAAATAATTAGTTTTAGTTTAATTTACTTTTCTATTGTAATTAATATAAAATTGTGTGTTAATAGCTGCAAATAAGTGAAACTGTTTACCATAGGAGGTAATCTATTCACTAAAAATAAACTCTTTTTTTTTACACTTTTTAAATATTAAATAATCTAATTAAAGTAAACAAAACTAATTTACTTAGCAAAATGTTTGCATATATTTATACTGTATTTCAGTTTACATAGTTAAATTGTGTCTTGCACAAGAAATGTAAAACTAAAAATATTTATTTCCCTGTATGCTTTAAAATTTTTACACAGATTTTAAGCAATCAATTACATGAACAAACTAAAAATCTAATTTTTGCAAAAGAGCTTTGATATTGGATTTTTTTTATTCCAACATTCACTAAAGCATTTTTAAAAATGTTAATTTCCATTTGTAAAAACTAGTGCACTGTGAATCTGAATATTGCGATATATTACGTGTTACTGCTATACAATTACATTCCTTATCATAAGTCTATTTTAGCTTTATGGATTTACAAATTATACAAATTAAAAATTTGTTCACTTTATAGATGACAAAACACAAAATAAGTTGTCTGTCGATTTATTTATTGAGTCTGCAAACAAAAACACTCCCCTCTTTGATAACACAAACACATGAAATAAGTGTCAAACTTCTAAAATGATTACTAGCCTGCCAGAAGTTATGAACGGCTTATGCCCTCACATGTATGGATGGAGGATGCGAACCAAAGACAAGCCCTTACAGTTAATTGATTTGACATGACAGACATGAGGAGGTAGAACAGTCACCCCGACTCTTCACAGACTGTTAGCGCAGTCTTCAAACAACTCACAGAATCTCTAACAATGTCGATACAGTCAAAGCGTAAAATATCAATAGGCCTAAGAGATGTAAAACAGATGTGACTAACATACGAACACAGCAACATTTTGTGAATTAAACCAGCTGTCGCCAATGAGGTACAATCTTCTTAGAAGAACACTCAATGTTTTTGAAGTTACAAGTCCCCTAGAGGTAAACAGTTGAGTTTTAACATTTTCAAATCCATCCAGCTAATCTTGAGTCATGGAGGATCAGTTTTAGCTTAGCTTAGGATAGATCATGGAATCAGATTAGACCAGTAGCATCTTACTTAAAAATGACCAAACTATCCAATTTAAAACTTCACTCTTCTGTAGTTTTGCTGTAGTAAATATCTTTTTTAATGCAAAAAAAAAAAAAGATTAATTGATCTATGCTAAGCTAAGCGTGCTTTATCCAGACGCAGAGATCAACTAAACGAATTCAGAAATGGTAAAAACTCGACTGTTTACTCTATGGGAGTGGTAAAATGCAATTATTTTCAAAATTGTGTTTCTTTTACTTACAGTAAAATAAAGAATTAAGTCTATGATACTTTTAAAGGGATAGTTCATCCTAAATTGAAAAATTTGACATTATTTACTTAACGTTCACTTGTCACAACCCTGTTTGAGTTTCTTTTTTTCTTTTTTTTTTGTTGAAAACAAAAATTATTTTGATGGCAAAAATGTTGGAAACTGGTAACCATCAACGTATTTGGTTTACCTACTATGGAAGTAAAAAATTACCAGTTTCCAACATTTTTCAAAATATCTGTTTAACAAAAATGAGTAAATGAAGATAAAATGTTAATGGTGAACTATGCCTTTAAGAATGCTAGTGATTTGAATGTGATAAGTGACCTTTAAACAGTCTCTTTCAATAAAGAGACAGGAAAATAGCATATTTTGCATACACAGTGGATTTTGTAGTTAAGTACAGAGAATAAAAGAATGCTGTGGCCACTAGGCTGCAGATTGTAAAGTAACAGGCTTGTAAAACTACATTCCTTACGTGTCCAGTAGTGTATTGACTACTAAGTGATGCATGTGTTCATGTTTTTGATGATCCCAGATGATGTTTTGAAAAGGTATGAGTGCCGCATTTGACTGAAGATCAGTGGTTTGTGCATGTCTCCTCCCATCTCCCTCAGCATCTTTACATTTGTTTACAGTTCATCTCTTGAATCGTCTAAGATGAGTGGATTTGTCGCTTCTTTCTTCAGATAGGTGATGAAGTCATTAACCTCGCGACCGCCCTGTGGGACAAGCAGCATTGCGCAAATGTGTAAGTAACACTAGCCATTTCTCATTTAAATTGTGTGCACACGCAGGTTGATATTTACCTCATATCGACGTGGCTGATCCTTTTGTCCAGAAGGCACAAAATAAATTGTTGGAAATCTGTAGGACAAGTAATGTATCAGACAGTTAGTTAGCCGAATGTCACTGAAAAATCTGTTGTAGTGAAGTATTAATAGATCAGAGAAAAAAAAAAAAAAACAATGTTACCCTTGGACATCATAATTTGGAGGCACATCATTAGCTGTGGCGTCCATTTTAGCAATGACAATGTTTGGGTTGCCAGAGAGCTAAGACACAGAGGCAAAAATTAAGAAACAATAATGCAGAACATATTTCATCTAAATGATTATTTAACTGGAAATTTAAAATCAAATTGAACCCAAATCTATGATTCAGGAGGAAGATGATAAAAAATGTGTCTAGTGGGAGAATATTTTGCATAAAAATTTCCCTAAAAACACACTTGATCATTTTTGCTATTATTCAAAACAGTTTCATTGAATAGTTTTTAATGTTTGAAAAGAATATTAGGTTTATGAAGGGGCTAATAATTTTGACCTTAAAATGGCTGTTAAAAAAACTAAAAACTGCTTTATTCTAGCTGAAATAAAACAAATCAGACTTTCTCCAGAAGAGAAAATATTATTAGACATACTGTGAAAATTTCCTTTCTCTGTAAATATTTCAAAGAAGAAAAAGAAATGTCAAAGGGTGGCTAATAATTCTGACTGTATATCTATATACTGCACATAAAAATAAAGGGAACACTAAAATAACACATCCTAGATCTGAATAAATGAAATATTCTTATTAAATACCTTGTTCTTTACATAGTTTAATGTGCTGGAATGAAAAAAATCAAATGGAAATCAAATGTATTAGGAGGTCAATTTGGAGTCACACTCAAAATTGAAAAGTGAAAATACACAATACAGGCTCATCCAACTTTGATGTAATGTCCTTAAAATAAGTTAAAATGAGGCTCAGTAGTGTGTGTGGCCTCCACATGCCTGTATGATCTCCTTACAAAGCCTGGGCATGTTCCTGATGAGGTGGTAGATGGTTTCCTGTGGCATCACCTCCCAGACATGGACTACAGCATCCAACAACTCCTAGACAGTATGTGGTGCATCGTGGCATTGGTGGACGGAGCGAGACATGAAGTTCCAGATGTGCTCAATTGGATTAGGTTCTAGAGAATGGGCGGGCCACTCCATAGCATCCATCCCTTTGTCTTGCAAGATTCAAAATTGACCAAAACGTCAGCCAGAATGCATAAGAACTTAGAAGTGGTCTGTGGTCACCACCAGCAGAACCACTTCTTTATTAGGAGAGTCTTGCTAAGTGCCGATTATTTCCACCTGTTGTCTATTACATTTGAACAACAGCATGTGGAATTGATTGTCAATCAGTACTGCTTGGTAAGTGGGCAGTTTGATTTCACAGTGTTCACATTTTAAGTGTTCCCTTTATTTTTTTTGAGTTGTGTATATAACATTTTAAAAAAACTTGATAACCAAAAAAACCTATAATAATGTTGTTTGAAGGAATGTGTGACTAAATTACTGAAAATTCACATTTGTCATCAAAAGATTAAAAAAAATAGGTTCCAAAAACTTTATGGACAACAAAACAATGTATAAAATAGATACTATATAACATTTATATCATATTTAAATATTAACAAACCTTTTCTCCAAGCTCCTTGTATTTGGGCTCCAAATTCTTGCAATGGCCGCACCAGGGAGCGTAAAACTCAACCAAAACATCCTTCTCTGGATCATTCACAATTGCATCAAATGTGTCAGCAACCAAGACCTGCAGAGGCCCATACGTGATTTACACCAGGAAATATTTTCAGCCTAAAACAAATCTGTGAGTCTACGTACCTTGACAGGGCCATCGTTGGACTCCGGAATAGGCTCAGACTTCACATATCGCTTCAATCTTTTAGCAAAGTAATCCTCCAAAAACTTCTCCAAGGACTTGCCATCTCGCCTTCAGAACCGAACACAGAAAAACACCCGATTTACTAATGGCTGCAAACAAACAGGCAATATATGGTGAGGCGGAGTTAGAAAACTTACGTGAATTCCTCCTGCATGGAGTATTTCTGTCCCGCTCTGGTCCTGATGGTGACGAGAGGAACGTCTCCACCTTCAGATGAACTCACACCAAACTCCTCCTCAAGCTCATCTTGAAACTCCTGTCGATCTGCCACCGCAAATGTCAGACCCCGATCCTGGAACTGTGTAGCCACTTTCATTATTCTAAGAGAGATGAATGAAGAATTGTTGAAAAATTAAAACAGAGGAAAACATAGAGATTTAACAAGAGCTGGGTGGGTTTCTCACCTATTCCTCCAGTAGTTTGTGCCTTTGGGATTCCGTAAGTAATCTACATTGAAAAATGCTGTAAGCAGGTCACTTTCTCTTACTGTGTCCCGGTTTTCCATGGTCATATGTGGACAGAGACCAAGTCTAAAAGCATATCAAGAAGAGTATAAAATCAAGAATAATAATATATGGGAGAACAAATCACAAAAAAAAAAAAGTTATATAAAGTTATAAAAATATCTATTTTCAATTTGTATATGATCACGTTATTTTAGTATAATTAAGAAATGCAATTTTAATAACCATTTGAATTAGTTAAAAAAAATTCAAGTTTGTCAGAAACGTTTTTTCTTTTACATTTGTTTTTCTATTCAAATTAGCCTATATTCGTATTGATTTCATTTTAATTTGAATAACACTAGTACATCAATTTAAACTAAAAGAAAACAAGCTAAAATAAAACACACATAAACATTAGTTTTTTCAGTTAACGTTTCTTTTGCTTGAATATTTTGTTTACAATCTAATCAATGACCTACAGAATGAAAAAGCATAGAAGAATCTTACATGTTGTCTTTGACGAATTTATGGAGCGATGAAACGGAAAGATGTTCAGTGTATTTCACCACATTGTCCTCAAATTTACTGCTCAAGCGAGGAGGGCGAAACAGCAGAACACACCTGGAATGCAAAAGACACAATGAGAAACATACAAATATTACAGCAACAAGCAGTATGCAAATAAAAGTTTGGAAAATTTCCATCATAGATCATCTTTGAGTAGTTATTTTAAACATACACAGACTCCACTTGTAAAAAGCACACAATCTGAAAACTCTCAAATTCTCTAAGAACGTGAGGACAAATCAAATTTTAATTTTTTATTTTTTATTTTTTTGCTTAAATTAGTGTTCATTTCTTCACATCCCAAATTTTCAATAGACCCTTTTCACATTTCCAGATTTCTCGGTAGCAGAAGTCATCATAGTTGGCGAAACTCAGAGTGCAGTGAATAGGAGAGTATAACAAATATTTTTTTCACAAATTCTACTGGCTAAAATAATAAAAGAAAAACTTCACAAGGTGTTATCAAGACTTTCAGAAAAAAGTAAAAAAAATAAATAAAATAAATAAACTAAAATATTGTGAGACAGATAACGACAGTCAGAAGAGATATTAACTTCCTGCCTCATAGATGCTGCGTTAGAAACATCTTGCACAAGCAGTAATTCATTTTTTGTAATATGATGTGCAAAGATGATAAAATACATATACTCTTACCAGCCACTTTATTAGGTACACCTTACTAGCGCTGCGTTAGACCCACTTTTGCCTTCAGAACCACCTTAATCCTTTGTGGCATAGATTCAACAAGGTACTGGAAATATTCCTCAGAGATTTTGGTCCATGTTGACATGAAAGCATCACACATTTGCGGCGCATTTGTCGCTTGCACATCCATGATGTGAATCTCCCATTCCATCACATCCCAAAGCTGCTCTATTGAATTGAGATCTGGTGACTGTGGAGGCCATTTGAGTACAGTGAACTCATTGTCATGTTAAAGAAACCAGTCTGAGATGATTGGTGCTTTAAGACATGGAACGTTATCCTGCTGGAAATAGCCATCAGATGTGTACACTGTGGTAATAAAGGGATGGACATGGTCAGCAACAATACTCAGGTAGGCTGTGGCATTGATACGATAGTATTAATGGGCCCAAAGTGTCCCAAGAAAATATTCCCCACACCATTACACCACCAGCCTGAACCATTGATACAAGGCAGAATGGATCCAAACTTTAATGTTGACACCAAATTCTGACCCTACCATCCAAATATCGCAAAAGAAATAGAGACTCATCAGACCAGGAAACGTTTTTCCACTCCTTTATTGTCCAATTTTAGTGAGCCTGTGTGAATTGTAGCCTAGGTTTCCTGTTCTTAATTGACAGGATTGGCACCCGGTGTGGTCCTCTGCTACTGTAGCCCATCCGCCTCAAAGTTTGACATGTTGTGCTTTCAAAGATGCTCCTCTGCATACCTAGATTGTAACGAGTGGTTCTTTGAGTTACTGTTGCCTTTCTATTAGCTGGAACCAGTCTGGCCATTCTCCTCTGATCTTTGGCATCAACAAGGCATTTGCAGCCACAGAACTGCCACTCACTGGATATTTTCTTTTATTCAGACCGTTCTCTGTAAACACTAGAGATGGTTGTACGTGAAAATCCCAGTAGATCAGCAGTTTCTGAAATACTCAGACCAGCCCGTCTGGCACCAACATCCATGCCACATTCAGTCACTTAAATCATCTTTCTTCCCCATTCTGATGCTTTTTTTGAACTGCAGCAGATCGTCTTGACCATGTCTACATGCCTACATGCATTGAGCTGCTGCCTTGTGATTGGCTGATTAAAATTTTGCGTTAACAAGCAGTTGGACAGATGTAATAACCTAATAGTCTAATAAAGTGGCCGGTTATTGTAATGATGTAGGATGTAAATGTTCATATGTTGTTGTTGTTGTTATTTTTTTTAAATCAAAGTATTTAAAAACGTCAAGGATATAAGATGCTGATGACCATTAAATGTGTCATAAGTCTTGTGAAAAGGATCCATAGAGCACAACAGGCACAAAATTCTCATCCTCAGTTGCACAAATGGTTGTTTCCATATCATACATACTCTCCATCCACCCCATATTTCAGGCCTGCTCCCACATCAGTGGAGTGAGCGAATCGATAGCTGTCCCTCAGGGCACTAGAGGCCTTCAGAAACTCTGCAAGTTGTGCACTGTCTTCCCCAGAGAAGAAGCCTGAGATTTACAAAGAGACAAAAGGCCAAGAGAAGAAAGAGGAGATCTTCAGTGTCTTTCAAAACAAAAAGAGACTAAGATGAATGCAGAAGTCAAATTTCATTCCAGCTTGAGACGTTTTCAACAGTTTTGACAAACTCTACTCACCCACCACACTGGCCTCATAGTTGTCGACAAAACCATCCAAATCTGCCTCTTTGAGCAGAGCCACAGAACTTGGACCCGCTTGCTTCTTCATGTAGCTCACAATGCCATCTGTTTCAGATTGAGATACGAATATGTATTGGAATAAATATTTAACAGAAGTCAAAATAAGAGGTTTTTGCACAGGGAAACTTGCCACAAGAACAGTCCCTAAAAACTATATTTCAACCAAATGTACACTGCCTGACAAGTCTTGTCGCTTATCCAAGATTTAGGAAGAACATATAATAACTTGACTAGTTGATCACTAGGCTTTTGTGAAAGGCAAAGGCCTCTAGATTATTTTACAAAAGTAAAATATGATCATGCCTTGATTTTTAATTATTTAATAAGGAAAATAAAGTCTGACTTAGACAAATGTCTTGTCACTTAACAGAAATTATGTGCAGTATAGTATATAAAGTCATAGTGGAGTGGAAAAAGAATGAATATTGTGTATGACTCCCATGATCTTGGAGGACTGCATCCATACATCTCTGCCATGACTCAAATAATTATTAATGAAGTCATCTTTAGCGCTCTTGGGACTCCCAGAATTTATCCAAATTCATTGGATTTATCTTGAATGCCTCCTCCATTTTACCCCGGACATGCTCAATAATGTTCAGACTGGTGACTGGGCTGGCCAATCCTGGTGCACCTTGACCTTCTTTGCTTTTAGGAACTTTATGTGGAGACTAACATATGAGACGGAGCACTATCCTGCTGAAGAATTTGCCCTCTCTTGTGGTTTTAATATAATGGGATATAACAGGGATAAAGGACAAGACTTTTGTTAGGTGGTATATACTGACAGATAAAGGTCTGGAAACTGGCCCATTTGAATGGTCAAGGATTGCCCACGATGCTATTTGACTGACAGGTTAGCCAAAAAAACATGGGTTTTTTTGTGCTGCATCAAGTGTGTGAAAATGTCCTCAGAATAATAGCCTGGCACGATACAATGCATTCATTCAAGAATCAAGATATCATTCACTCAAGTCTTTAAAACTTGTCTTTAAAAGTTCATAACAATGACGCATCAATATTTTAAAAGATTTGTCTACAAAAGGTATAGGAAATCAGTAGGACGCGTGAAGACTTTGTTTCCAAGATTTTTGGCATTTCTAAATAAAGATCACGCTGATGGAGATGATGGAAAGTGTTTCTTTGCTCTATAAAAGTAAATGGTTTTGAAGTAATAAAAAAATTAAAAAATAGATAGATAATAAATAAAAGTTAACTGTTATTGTGCAGGCAGTAAAACCACTGATTCATGAGTGTCTCATATGACATGTTTACTAAAACACCGAGAAATGTAGTACAGAATATTAAGATTCCTGCATGAAATATACATTAATTAAAGAGCATTGTCATGAATATAAACGTCACAGCTTTTTTTTTATCTGGCTAGACTTGTTTCCAGGGAGGCTGGTTAAGATTGCTGCACACTCGACTCCCAGAAATCCTGTATATTTAAACCAATCAGAGGATGGCTTGACATCTGAGGCAGAGTTGACCCAAGGCCATTTTCCTGGCTGCAATATCAAGCTGCGTAGAAACTTTGATGTGGCTTAAGCTGTCAGACAGCAACAACAACATTCAAGCATGATATTCAACAATGCGAGCATCATGAGAAATGAGAATGGAAATGTGCCTGGACCTCAAAATTGGTCCATTTATCACTGGTTGGCTAGTTAAATTGTAGAGTACATGTATAAATGTTTGTTTACACTGCATTTTAAAAATGGTGTGTGCCGGTATTATACATAGCATGAATTTACTTAACACTACTGCACTGGGACCCTACTTTAAAGTGGGGGCTATTTTAGTCCCCACAGAAACTATTCCAGTAACTAAAAGTAGACTAGTAGTTTCTAGATTATGTGATGCAAACATTCCAAAAATGTGAACTACTATCAATAGATTGAAGATATTTTTAAAAATAAAATAAAATCAAATCAAATGAAAAGTCTCTATTGTTACAATCAACCTCAAAATAAAAGTCTGGTGATCAGTGTTATTATTTTATTTGACCTATTTTGCAAGGATGCATTAAATGTATTAAAAGTGACAGTAAATACATTTATAATTCTAAATGTATGATGCCCATTTCAAATAAATTATTTTTATTTTTCTAATAATTAAATAGTTACATTTTCAGAGTTACAAATACAAAACAACACGGATTAAAGATTAAGGATAAAAACTGATTATTAAACACCATATCAGTATCAGTAATTACTGAAAGATCATGTGACACTGTAGACTGGAATAACGATTTTATGAAATGAGTAATGAGTGAATCACAAAAAATGTGCTTTCAAATTTAATTTCCAAAGTGCTGTTTAAAAGAGCAAGTAAATTTTGTAAAGTATAGTACTTCCTGTTATAGATTTTCTTGTGGAGTATTAATAGATGAGTTTGCCTGAAATAAAATGCATGAAATAATGTAAGATCAATATTATTTGCCCCGTTAAGAAATTATCATAATTTTTCCATTTGGCTACAGAACAAACAACTGTTATTAAGGGTATTTCCTAATTAACCTAACTGACTCTTTAAATAGCACATTAGGCTGTATACAATTATCCTGCAAAATAACCAGAAAAATGCACTGTCACCAAGGTAAAAACAAAAGAAATTAGTTATTATAAATCAGTTGTCAAATTTACTAGGTTAAAAAAATTGATTTTTTATAATTTCAAACAGGGGGGCTAATCATTTTGACTTCAACTGTATATTGTAATAAAACAATACTGTATACAAAAATCACAAGTAATAACCTGCTGTTCTTGGACCATCATAAGCTCCAGATTCCTCTCCATTTCGGAAGATTTTAAGGGTGGGATATCCATTCACTCCAAAGCGCTCACAGGTCTCTGAGTTCACAGTGCAGTCAACCTGATCAAACAACATGAAAGTGAGGGATTCATTATGCAGACATATGCAAAAACATAATCTGGTGGAATGAGTCAGCCAAGCAGTATAAAACAGGCCGAAGATTTGAGTCAGGAAACTGACGGGTTCGTCATCATTTCTCACCTTTGCCAGAGCCAGCGTCCCTTTCAACTTAGTGGCAGCAGCTTCATATTCTGGAGCGAGTCGTTGACAATGACCACACCTGTGGTAACATCAGATGAGGGATGTAAATGATACATTAATGCACTGTACTATTTCATTGCGCAATTCAGTTAAAAGGCTTCAGGCTCAAACAGATCTTTCAAAAAGCCCTATTGTATCAGTATAATAATTTTTTATTATTAGAGAATGTGCATGCTAGTTTACAGTGTTCATTCTAGTTTTAAGTAGATTTTAAACTTTGCAGTAATTTTCTAGGACAACGTGAAGAAGACAATTTAAGGAATAAAGTGAAGGAAAAACAACATGTCAGTATACTGACATGCATACTTAGATGTATATGTCTAACTCAGGGGTGTCCAAACTCAGTCCTGGAGGGCCGGTGTCCTGCATAGTTTAGCTCCAACTTCCTTCAACACACCTGCCTGAGAGTTTTTGTATACCAAGAAAGAGATTGATTAGCTGGTTCAGGTGTGTTCAATTGTAGTTGAACTAAAATATGCAGGACACCGGACCTGCAGGACCGAGTTTGGGCACCTCTGGTATTAACAGAAACAAGTATTAGCAGTGTCTCAAAGATTCAAAACTTTGTATCAATCTCAACTACCTTCTAGTTAATTTTGAAAACAAAAAAAAGAGCTTCTCTGAAGCTAAAATAATATTACTTTCATGCTGCACAATAGATGGAAGGTCTTGATGTTCACAGCAATGTTGTCTTCGCAATACAAATATTTTAAAGATACTTCCATCAGGACGCAATTACCCAAAATGTTGAATAACATAAACCTTGTGTGTGTGTGTGTGTGTGTGTGTGTGTGTGTGTGTGTGTGTGTGTGTGTGTATCAAATATCTGCCAATGGGTTCAGGAAAAACATAACCTTAAAACTAAGCGAGCCTTATTTGTTTATATCATGTTTTTTTTTCAGTGTAAAATCAGAAGACAAAAATATGCAATTTTAAAAGTGCAAATGCAAGATTTATTTTAGATATAAAATAAAATTTAAGAGTTTGTTCTCTGACACTAAATCTTAATTTGTGTAAAGACAACTGAGACTATTCAAAACCTTTTCTGATACGCAGAACCTATGATTCTTGATTGAGGTAAAGTTGGTTTTATAATCACACATTCATTCAGTGATAACTTGTGACATGGTCCCTATATTGTTAAAATGCTACTATGAATATTCTGTCAGAAATAGTATGCAAACAACGTTATAGCTTCAACAACATTAGCACTATTTAATTGACTGTTAACAATGTTGTACAAGTCTAAGGCTGCTATTATGATTTCCCTATTTAGAATTAGCAAAGAATAATTTTCTTGAAATATAATATTAAGGAAAATGTGTGGATGAATAGATAAATAAAACATCTTTACATCTTGTTCACTAAATACATCAACACAACCATAGTCATGCTAGTTATGCTGTACAACAACAACAACAAAAAACAAGTTTAATCTCTGCTAATTTTTCAAATTGTGAATAATAACTAGACTCCAACCTGGCTGCACACGAAATTCTAATTTTATACAATTATGACTAGATCTTGGACAAACCAAGGTGCGAAGAACTCCACTAGCAGAGTGTCATGCATGCCTGCGCTCCGGTCAAAGTCAGAATCTCCGAGCTCCAGCACATCGCTGCCCTCCACGAGCCACACAGTCAGCACAGCACAGATCATAAAACAAGGTAAACGCATTTTGACTAAAGCAAGCGAATGCTATGAAGAGACAAGTGTACGCCAAAGTTAACACTCCAGCGAGAGGTGCTGCGGCTCACTCAGTCGAGTCATATGGATCCCCTTAAGGTCCACAAAAGCACCGTTCTTCTGGCAGAACGCGTTTGATAAATGGAGGAACAAAGGAGGTTTGCTTGTCACATTATCCATATCAGCACGACGCTTGGTGCTGGAGTACGTTGCATTTATTATTTTTGTCCAGGGTACTTTTTACAAATATGGTTAGTTGATTTAAATTGTCAATAAAATATTTAAGGAGCATTAGTCGCGAAGGGAAGCAACGTTATGTGTAGTGATTTATTTTAGCACTAGGGGTCAGCATATTGTGTTCTCTAGGCTCAGCAATCATTACATTTGTCTGTTTCTTCTACCGGACAACGGAGGGGTTTCAATGAAGCCTGAGAGCCCTTAGATAAGCTCTCAATTACTGAATGGGAGAGTTCAGAGTATTTTTTCATTCATTCATTAATTAATTCATTCATTCATTCATTTTCTTTTTGGCTTACAACCTTTATTAATCAGGGGTCGCCACAGCGGAACAAACCCACACTTGTTTTAAGCAGTGGATGCCCTTCCAGCTGGAACCCATCACCGGGAAACACCCATACACTCCAATTTACACACATACACTACAGACAATTTAGCTTACCCAATTCACCTATAGTACATGTCTTTGGAATAGTGGGGGAAACCGGAGCACCCAGAGGAAACCCACGTGAACACGAGGAGAACATGCAAACTCCACACAGAAATGCCAGCTGACCCAGCCGAGGCTCGAGTTGAACCAGTGACGTGAGGCGACAGTGGTATCCAGTGGTATTTTATTGAAGGGAAAAAGTCTACATTATCTGCATCTGCTTGTAAAGTTTGTTTAAAAAATAATGTTGATTCATTAATATTCTTTTCGGCTTAGTCCTTTTTTTAATTTGGGGTCACCACAGCAGAATGAACCGCCAACTTATCTAGCCCGTTTTTACGCAGCGGATGCCCTTCCAGCTGCAACCCATCTCTGGGAAACCTCCTCACACACTCATACACTACGGACAATTTAGCCTACCCAATTCTTCTGCTCTGCATGTTTTTGGACTGTGGGGGAAACCGGAGCACCCGGAGGAAACCCATGCAAACACAGGGAGAGCATGCAAACTCCACACAGAAATGCCAACTGACCCAGCCGAGGCTGGAACCAGTGACCTTTTTGCTGTGAGGCAACAGCACTACCTAATGCGCCACTGTGTTGCCCTGATAATGTTAATACAATGCATAAATTATCTAGAGTACAATCACCCAGAGTAATAACGATTGTATGAAATATATTTTTAAAAATATATTTTGGATACATAAATTTATTTTATAAAGGCAATCAACATAACAAGCAGAATCATGTCTCTATTTAAAGGTTTTCTTAGAATAAGTTAGAAAAAGATCACCTGGGAATTTTAAGGCCTACCATGTGCAAGTAAAGTTCCTGCTTCAGATGATAAGCTTGTGCCAGAACTGACTCAGCCTATCTTTTGCTGAGTGTCTGAGTGAAACGGATACTCTGTTTTCCTTCATTCTCTATTATTTCCTAAATGATTGAGTTCTTATCTGTTAATACAATGCATGATGGGGAAATACGTCCTGGATCATCACTTATCATTAAAGCCAGCAGTAAACTATTCTCACGGACCCTTCAGTGCAATGGCTTACCAATCATAGTCGTTAGCCCTTTTTTGGCCAGCTATTTTTGAACAGACATTCTGAATGGTAATTTTGAAAGAGGGCTGCTTTGATGTTCCAGATCCTGATTTTTCCATTTTACTCCCCCATATTTAAACCATATTCATTCATTTAACTTTCCAGACTTTATTACATTCATTCATTCATTCATTCATTCATTCATTCATTTTCTTGTCGGCTTAGTCCCTTTATTAATCCGGGGTCACCATAGCGGAGTGAACCGCCAACTTATCCAGCAAGTTTTTACGCAGCGGATGCCCTTCCAGCCGCAACCCATCTCTGGGAAAGACTTTATTACAGTAAATTTACAGTAAATTATTATTTCAGTTTCTGTCAAAACTATTTTATAAATATTAAAGATTCTTATTTGTTCAGTAAAAAAGTCAGCAATGCACATTTTGCACATTAATCATCTAGATGTATATATTTAACTTCTTAATTTTTGCTGGTATTTTTGACATTTAAATATTCTTCTGTCTTTTGCGTTAATAAGATATGTATTGATTTTATGTAAAAAATTCTCTGTGTTTGAGCACACTAAGTAAATCAAACAGTCATTCATTTTCTTTAATAATCTGGGGTCGCCACAGCGGAATGAACCGCCAACTTATTTAGCACTTGTTTTACGCAGCGGATGCCCTTCCAGCTGCAACCCATCACTATGAAACATCCATACACACTCATTCACACTCATACACTACGGACAATTTAGCCTACCCAATTCACCTGTACCGCATGTCTTTGGACTGTGGGTGAAACCGGAGCACCTGGAGGAAACCTACGCGAACGCAGGGAGAACATGCAAACTCCACACAGAAACATCAACTGACTCAGCCAAGGCTCAAACCAGTGACCTTGTTGCTGTGAGGCGACAGCACTACCTACTGTGCCACTGCATCACTGTGAATAAAACATTCTGTATATATTTTTGTATTGATTTTAGCATAAGAAAATAAACAATGACATTAATTAGAACAGAAAGAGAACAACGGCCATTTCCAATACACAAATTCAATTAATAAATATTAATAGAAGTGTGCTGGCTTCTCAACTTGTACGCCAAATCAGTCCATCCTATAAAGATTTATAAGTCAGCATCATTAAAATAAACCCTAATTAGATTCCAGATTTTGAAATCTTATGTGAACATATATAGCAGATGCTTATATGAAAAGGGATGAATTACAACTAACTATAATACACTCATGTTATGGAGTTTCTTCTTGTTACTAATTTAAATTTATTTTATTGCATTGTTTCATAAACTATGATGACCCCAAACATAAAGAAGTAGAATGAATAGGCCTAGTCTTCACATCTATTAAAAAGTAATAATTGCTTTGTGGTAAAAATGTATGGAAAATCTCTCAATAATATTCGACTAGACCATACTCAGTTTTATTATATTGTTTAATCATTCATTTTCTTTTCCGCTAAGTCCCTTTATTAATCAGGGGTCACCATAGCAGAATCAACTGGCAACTTATCTAGAATATGCTTTGGCAGCAGATGCCCTTCCAGCTGCAACCCATTGCTGGGAAACACTCATACACTCACACACCACGGACAATAGCTTAGCCAATTCACCTATAGCACTTTGGACTTGTGGTGCAAACTGGAGCACCCGAAGGAAACTCACGGCAACAGGAGAGAACATGCAAACTCCACACAGAAACGCCCACTGATCCAGCCGAGGATCGAACCAGCGACCTTCTTGCTGTGAGGCGACAGCCCTACAGCCCATATTGTATTTAAACATTTCGACAGAAAAAGATATTAGGTCCATCATATGCCATCGTTATCACTGAGTTCTTTGTAAATAGACAATCAGTTAATAAATTCAACAAACTGGAAACAAATGAACGTACACGAACCCATATCATGTTCAATCAATGTTCATCAAAGACTTTATGACACTAATTTAACAATCTATGTGGTTTTAAAAATAGGATTCGTGTCAATGTGTTAAATAGAGGCTAAGCTATACATAGATTTGAAAGCAAAACAGTGGGAGGGAGAGAATACGCGTAAGCGCGTGCTCACTGCTCGCACTCGCGCGACTCGATTGTCTTGAAGTTCTGTCATTGTCGCGCGCTCTCCAGCGCATTGGATAGAGATACAGCGATTGGTTACGCGCATAGCGGTCACAGCGATCACTTTGGAAGCAAGTCAAGTCTTCGAAAATTATTTACCGGTTTATAGTGTAAAGAAGGAGACACATCTGCTGTAAGAGTATCTTCGTTGTTCTCCAAAGGCAGCACAGCAGACCTTTGCTTAGTTGAGTCCAATGCCACTTCATCAGTAAGGTAAGAGAAGTTAACGTTACTAACAGAACAGCTTAAGACCCTTCATAGTGCTAAAGGCGAGATTGTTTGCTTTCTTGAATGCACACATTTTTCTCTTCATTTTTGTTCTGAAGTTTTATGTGGGCTACTTAAGTTTCCATCTCATGTCCTGACCTAATTCTTAGGGTCTGGTTTTGATGTGTTTGCTTATTCTTTTCACTCTCAATTGCTATACTGTTTTCAATCAAAACACATATCTGATGCTTACTGAAGTCGAATAAACAACATCTTTGATCGTAAATGCAGCTCATTACAACGTTGTTGTAAAAAATGGAAAACAAGAAAAAAATCTGACGAGCCATAATTATGGTGTAATTTGTCTTTTGAACAGTGAATCTCTCTCAGATGTTTGTGATATGGTGCAGGTGTAGAAAGACTGGTTCTCCATCATGTGTTTTGCCCTAAAAAGTTTGAATTATTATTTTTTTTATAACATATTAATATTAAAATAATAATGGTGTATTGTTAAATAATGCTGAAAACTGCAAAAACTTTTATCACACTAGTATTATTACACCGTTTAACACAAATAACTGAGTCATGGCTGTGTTATTTGAAGGACAATGACACACTACCCTTCAAACATTTATCTTTTTGAGTCATATCAAAGACACTTTCACTGCTGATGTTTTTTTTTCTTTTGTGGCTGATCTAATAGATTTTGAACAGCACTTTATCTTACTGAGTGATGCCTGTCCTTCTGTAGTCTTAAAGAGACAGTTCACCCAGAAATTAAAAATGTATGTTAAATGCAAAGTTCATTCAAAACTGAAAAAACGTTTTTTGTCTTTTTTGTTTTTCAAATGCTGTAAATCTGTAAACATTGACTTCAATAGAATTTGCTTTGGCTAAAGGTTTCTAATCTATTTTAAAATGTCTCCTTTTGTGTTCAACAGAAAAAAGAAACTTATAAAGGTATGGAACAATTTGAGGGAGAGTAAATGGTGATTAATGTACCAAGATGTTACTGACTTTTTT